CCCACTCGATCAGGATGGCACGAGGCCGACTGACGGCAAATGCCCGGTTACGTTTCCTTCATTAATGATTTAAGATACGCCGCACTTCTATAACTTTTATGGCATCGTAATTTCCGGTTTGTGTGACTTTAATCTAAGTCAAATCAACCGACTTTCTAAGACACGACATCTTACATTCCCCGTCTAACTTAAATTTTTAGATTTCATTTTTCCGATTAAGCGGCAGAAGTTCGTAAAAAATGTTTGCAGCCTACTTTTCTAAGCTGTTATGAATTCCTCTGAGAAGAATATATCTTTTTAAGGAAGATTTAAAAGTATGAAAAGTGCTTTTTTACTGCTAATATAATGAGATTCAATCCAGATTTAAGACTTCTTAATGAATATATACGAGACAGAGCAAACTTAATCTCATTTCCAAAGGCTGGGAGTTATGTAAAAATTAAAAAACCTTTTGGGTCAGAATATTTCAGTATGCAGTGTGATATGAAACAGTTAAAAGTGGCGGGAAAACTACTATAATTTTGAAAACTCGAATTCGGGGCGGTGGGATGGAAACAAGGTGGTTATTTCTCATTACGAGAGTGTATTAAAAATATGGATAAAATGACACAACGAAGAACTTCTTAATTTGCAGTCTTCACCTAATGCTGTTATAGTGATTAAATCGAGTGCGATGGTCAGAGTATGTACCACGTATAATAGAAATCCATGGACAACTTTTGGTCAGGAAAATGAAACGAATATGTCACGTGGTAGATTCAGTCGTACCCGAGTTCAAATTTCGGTTCGGAAACCAGCAACTGGAACGAGGATTTTCGTGGTTTTACTCAATTCATTAAAGAAAATTGCGGGACAGTACCGTAAATTTGCCACTATCCCTTCTTACCATTAATATCTACTTAATTCACTGTTCTATTCATCCTATAATTGGAATCTGTATAGTTAAAGCTTGTGACAGGTCGTTACGTAAGCATAAATATACACAGAAGTAAATGGAAATTATAAAACTTGCTTCTGAAGAGTCATGATGCGAGGAAAATACTCAATTGAGTTATCTAAGGACACGTTCCAGAGACGGACATTTATAACACAGACTTCAGCTTCCTAAAGTGTAAGATTTATTGACAGACGTTGATCCTTTCCATCCTTTTCTCGGACTGGGACTTGTTCATATACGTTCTTGGCAGATGATCCAGCAGTGGTTTGCCATTGCCTTCTTCTGTGTGTGAATGGGGTAATTGTTGGGATGCCACGGAGGAAAACTCCGTGTTGCCTAGACCACGGCCTTGCCCAACACAAGTTATAAATTCGGGCACCGCCGGGAATCGAACCCGAGACCGCCAGGATTACAAGGCCAGCGTTCTAACCGCTAGACCACCGTGTTATACTAAAAACACATTAAACTATATATTATCCACAACGACATTAAAAAAATTCGCCTCTCCTCCTGTCTTCCCATAACTGAGTGACGTCAAAACGAAAAATTTTGTGTAACATTTTATCTTAAGAATGTCTTGGCTCATTGGCATCGAACCTGAAATACTAGACTAGTACGTTAATCACTAGACAACAGTCAGCCGTCGATCGGAATCATCTTGAGGACGGAAGTGCAGCCTAACTCTGAAACGTTGCGTAGTCTACATCAAATACTCCGGAGGGAGTGAGCAATGCCCAATGTAATGTTGGCTTCAGGGGTTACTTGTTCCTCATGGAACACAGCGCACTTTGAATTTAGTCACTTGTTACTTCATTGTGCACTGAACGGAATGAGGAGTTCCAGAAAGTCAGACCACAAGCTTAGGCCTTAGTTATAATTTAATGAAATCTTATGTTCCATACCAGAGATTTTCAGCGTTCCAAGAACCCTGTAACCTGCACGCGTAGTTCACTTAATTAGTGTCACGCCGAGCTTCGTACGGTCTTCATGAAAGTTCCCAGAGACCGTGAGACAGGAGGAGGATTTCGTACAAAGTGTTCGCCGATACCACGCCCTCGGTTTTGCAGTTCCAGTAAAGTTTCGGTATACGGTCAAAGCACTATTTAGTTCTACTGAAACAGATATTAGCCAGCTGGTACAACACGCTGTTTTATTTGACGCAGATAATATTAAAAAGGGACATAAATTGGAATGAATAAATTTACTTGCAAAGAAATTAATTTGTATTTGATATTACTGTGTTGATCTATCTGTATTAATGTTATCTGTCCCCTACGACCTCTGATTCTCAGGAGGATTGTCGTTAGCAAATACAACCGAATGAATCATAAACGAACATTAAATAATTTTCAGGACTGATTTTAATTGAGTCCTGGGGTCAGGATAAACAGCGATTCTTGCACATTATGAAATAAATATGATATCTGAAGGTAAAATGTTAATTTAAAATTAAATTATTTTTATTCTCGTTAAAGATGACAATGAAACATGTAGATGTGAAGGCGAGAAGCGCTGTGGAGTCAACTTTCTCGTAGCTCAGGAAGTTTGCGGATGCACTGAAGGCAATCTGAAAGCATGTTATGAAGTTTGTACGTTGTGAATTCGGTAGATGTTGTGTGCGGACGAAATATCAGCAGATATAATGAAAATAAATCAAGAAATCTTAGGGGGCAGAGAACTTTTCAGGAAAGTAATAGTTTGCATAACATGAAGGCTCAAAAATTCCGTCACTAAAGCAGATTAATCATGTCCATACTTTACCTCTGTAATACTCGAAAAATCTATGCGATTTTCGCGTTCATTAGACTAATTCATCTTTGTCTGTGTTTGTGATTCCTGAATATTCACCGATTTTGGTCCTGGTGCGAATTCTTTCTTTGAACAAAATACACAAATTAAATTCTGAAGTGACACCTGTCGTCTGTCCGGTCATCCGCATACATGATTCTTTTCCTGGTTATCATGTAAACTAAGAGCTCACGGAGAAACTTTGAAAGTACTCTCTTATATTGTCCTAAACATGTTCATAAAAACCATTACTCTGTTTTATTTTAATCAAGGTTTCAAAACTTAACGAGAAACTATATTATTTTAACGTCATTAAGTACCGGAGAACGGCAAGGCGGTAACTTAATAAATACCTTAAGCATTAAAATTAAATAATAATTAAATAATTTCCAAATTATAGAAAGAAGACTTGAGTTAATCACAGCCAATGACATTAAGAGAATTTCTACAATTGACCTGTCTTCCATACTATAAATCACAGAACTTTATGTAGCATCGATAAAGAATGCACATCAATATAGTTTAAACAGATACAAATCTTTCGGGCGCCCTTGCAAATGTGTTCATCGTCATCATTTATTACACTAAATTCAAGTACACATAGTAAAACAGCGGGGTGTTAAAATTGGTGTGTCATCTGTTCCTCCATTCAGCCTAGTGAATTAATCCGCTAAAAACAAGTACATTTTGCTCGCATTTTCTGTATCATGCCTACGTAAAGAGAGACTTCACGAGTAGACCGAAAGACGTGCAGGTTCAGGAGATATTGTCTGCGTGTTATCGTCTCATTCTTTCATACGCAAAATATATATTTTTATGCTCAGTAATATGAAATATCGTTGCGTCACGTCGCACTGTTTCCATGGATATTGATATCACTTGTACAAATATCTGGTAACTATTTCTGATTACAGTAGAAGCGAAAGGCGACTGGAAGAATGTTTGGATGGGGACTGACGTTTTTCCCAAGAGACGCGATGACTTCGTGGAATTCGTACCAGGGATTCTGAGTGTCTCATTTCGTAGAATTTCTGTTCTGCGAAGAGACGGGGGCAAATTACTGTATACAAAAGTTCTTGAACCGTGCGCTGTATTTATGGCTTTTATATGAATGCGGAGTTCTCTGTAGGGAATTAGCGAGTAGTCGTCTTGGTTCCAGGACACTGGAGTAACAGGCGCGCGTGCGGCTATGTTTGAAAAAAATCAAGTATGTGTATCATAACGTAGCACAAACAGCAGAAGTCAGTGAATCTTTGATTTACTCGGAAAAATATTACTGAAAAACTTGTCTCTCTTCTTACATTTTATAGTTGTAATACATTTCCTGGAAAGCGTTGAGAACTGAATCAGCGTCATCTTGCGTCTCTGTTAGTGACAAACAAGTAACGAGCAGACCGAGTGCCGTTCGGATGCAGAATATTTGTCAATTTCTTCTGCCCAAACTGATAAGTAACAGAACAAAATCATTAATGTGAATCAGTATTAATGATAATAATTGGGAATTATACTACATCGCATTCTAAAGAAACTATTAAAAAAATTACTTTTAATCTTTTGATATCATGCTGATAACACAACCGTCTTCCATAAATGCAAAGATAAAAGTGGACTGAGGTGACTGCATAGTAATTTGCGATACGTCACCGTGTAACACCCCTCAGATCACCTATGAGGCATTTGTTATTTTCAAAGCATTGCTGTTTACAGGCAACGCATCTAATACGAGGCTCGTCCTTAAAGTAAGTTTCCCTGGGGCCGTTTACAGAAACAAAACACAATTTCATGGAAATATTTATTGCAACAGATACAGCAAGTGTCCAGCTATTTTTCAACATATTCGCCACCGGAATTGAGACATTTGTCATACCGTGGGACCAACTTTTGAATACCTGTGTCGTAGAAGTCTGCCGCCTGGGATTGGAACCACTGTGTGACAACCATCTCCGCCTCTCTGTCATTCTCAAAACGCTGACGCTGACCGGACAGGAATTTCTTGAGGTGTAGGAAAAGATGGAAGACACTGGGAGCGAGGTCCGGGCTGTAGGGTGAATGATTAAACACCTCCCAGCTGAACTCCTGCAGGAGACTTGCTGTCCGGCGAGCCGTGTGCGGCCTAGCGTTATCACTGACCGCACTTCACAGTCGGCGGGAGCTGGAATAAGAACCTTTATCTTCAACAGCTGCAACGATGCTAATGTGAGAACGCGGGAGGTGCCGTTAGTGCATGAGCCATGCTACGTCATTGCTCTATCACGTACGCACAGTCGCTTCGCTCAATATAAGGTTTGCTAGCTGTGGGACGAGTGGGAAACTTACTTTTGGGACGCACCTAATAGAAGCACGGGATTATTGACACAGTAATCCACTGTATTGCTGCTCGTTGAGGTATGCATCCGACATCTGATGAAGAATTTTGGTCACAAGCTGAGAATGTATAATTGGGCATTTAACATTTCGTGACGTATCCGATTACTTCGTCAACAGGAAAATTACTTACTTTGGCGATGTCTGGCGTAACACAATAAATGCCCCTGGGAGCTGGAAAGGAAGAAGTCGGATACAGTGTGCAGAGGTCATAGCGAAATCACATCTTTGTGTTTTAAAGACGAGAGATGGAGGGACATCACATTCACTTAATTGATTTACGCGTTCCTCCGAAACGTCGATAACTACCTGCGAGACACAGCATGAAAACTATGTGACAACGTTTGTACCGCCATGCTATCTCAGGTCACAACGACATATTCAATCTCCTCGATTTTAAGTAACCGGATGGGAGATAAAGGTTTTAAGTAATTGTCAGTAAGTGTATTCAGAAATTCATATCGTTGTGAATTCGTCACGAATATAATTTTGATAAGAACATTAATATTACGCGCGAGGGACTGTGTAGTTCTGGCGGCTGCTCACAGGACGAAAATGTGTTTGTTCACGTGTTTTCGTGTTTTCAGGAGCTATGAGTTACGACCGTACTAAAACAGCAGCGATAAGAGGCTTCAGTCTGAAAATAAGGAAAAAGATGAATATGCACTCAGCCCTAAGCTTGGCGTTTGGAAGTAGAAACCAGTTAAGTACTTGCAAAACCTAAAAGTTGAAATTTCGTGAAGTAGAACAGTGTGTTGAAAAAAGAACACACGATCCTACGATCGGATAAAGTTATTCTCCACACTACAAATTACATGGCTTAATAAGTAACATTAATTATGTGTTATTCGTGAATATATATTTTCACCTGGGTTAACATACTAATAAGAATTTTTTACGAATAAATGTGATATTTTCTTTAACAAAACGAAAGAAGTTTGGGAGGTTCTTTGTTTCGCTAAAACATGAACATCGACATTTAAATATGGCGCCAGTGATGTCACAGTTCCCTGGCGTCAATGAGTTTTGCGTGGGGAATCCCCGTGGATTCCCGCACGACATCTCACGGTCCGCGCCGTTCGTAGAAACTCTTGTAGGTTTCCATGAAATGACCTGTTATATTTGCCTGAGTGTCACCAAAATCGGAATAAATCGACATATTTCAGTAAAACTCCCCAATGTAAAATGTTATGAAAATCCTTTCAGGGTTTCTCCAGTTCCTCAAATTGCCCTCGTGACTTAGTCTTTTTTCCATTTTCGAACAAAAATTTCTTGTTGATTCTTTATTCAAAATGTTTATCACCCATTTTCGTGATAAGCTGTCCAAAACAACACTTCAGCAAAGCAGCTCTGATCTCGGTAGACTTGTCAAGAACAATTTGCGACTGTGTGGGATTCAGACATGGCCAACACCCCTCGTCATCCAACGCAGAGGGAGTCACGCTTCGAAGTTTTACCAGTCTCTTTATCTAATTGCCAACCCTCTCATATGGATATCTTAATTTCTTCGAAACTTCAGCTATGCTTCATTTTGTTCATGAACTTCACAGCTTAAGATCTACCGTGGCGTCTTGTATAATCTTCCTGATAACACTACATTGCTGCCCTACTGTTGGTTTAACATTTTGTCCTAACTTTGGAGTAATCCTGAGAAAGCACTTTCGAAAGACTTCAAGACTAGAAGTGAGTACGTACGAAAATTACTAAGTTAAAGCATGGCATGATTTAAGTACGTGAACAGAAATTAGATTGCTTTATTTCTGATTTACGCAGGAAGACAGAAATAACGGTGTAGTGGATTTTGTCGACTTAATACATCTGAAATATCGCATATTCATACCTATATAATGACGATTGGGTGTTTCTGAGAACAGGGTAATTAAGAGAACATTTAGACCTGAAAGGGATGATTTAATGGGAGAATGGAAAAATGAAATAATGAGGATTTATGTAATTTGTATTATTCACAGAGTGATATTAAGGTAATCAGACCAGGGGTAGAGGGTGAGACGATCATTGCATATAGAGAAATACAAGTCTAATTTATGGAGTGTCTCGTCCAAGGAAAGCTGATACACTTACGTTATTAAGTGATGTAAGCCTAATTATTATTTCAGATAATTTTTTATTCTTAAACAGTTAAATTAATGAAGACAGGGGAGAGTAAGTTGTGAATATCTGTAGTATGATATCTGCTGTATAATCAGCTTTGCAATAGCTTATTTGAAAGTGAATAAATAAACAAAGAGGGAAATTAGAAATCCAAACAAGTAGAACCTCACTTGAGAAACATCTGAATATGCTTCCCCTCAACTGCATTTAATTCTCATAAAGAAGATTTATGGTTAAATACAGAGTAAGAATTTATTCGTGCAGGAAGCTTACAATTGTAGTTCCATGATTGTTTACTGACGTATTCTTAGAATACTTGAGGACTTTCTCAACGCCAAGTGTTACAACCGTTGAACGTGTTTAGGAGAAGATGCAAGATATTTACAATTATTTATAAATAGCTAGTCTTTGTCTGTGTGAATTTACTATCCTGGTATTTACAAGGAAAGACTGAGGGAAACCACGATATAAATCAGCAGGATACCGGCCAATATTCCAACACGGGACCTGCGAAATTGTTAACAGAACTGTGACGAATTGCTTTCCGTGTATTTAAGTGGAAACGGAAGTGTTCTCTGGTAGGCCACAGAACCCTGATGTTCGACTGACATGGCGGTATGAGTAGAGATGAGTTGTGAAGTTCCCTGGCTTTGTATGCGCGACGAGGTTGCAAAAATGAGCTCTTTATCGTGTATGTCTGCCTGTCTCTCTATCTGTCACAGGTCGAGAACCGATCAGTGGTTTTTCATGAAATTTCACATTGAGAAGTTCTGCTTAAATTTACAGAT